GACCTCATCCATACGAAGAGGAGGAACAATCTCTCATCTGAGAGCCTCGCAAAGCTTGTATACATACACTGGAACATGCAGCTCCAGTCTATCCCGAAGAGCATGAAGGACGRCTTCGTTGATGTCTGGGCATGTTTCTTTGATGACCYGGAGGCTYCGCCCGCCAACGATCCTGCTRTTCTTCCACGACCCTTGGAGCTGGATGAGGAGGAGGTGTTGCGACAGGCAAGATTGAGGAAGACCCCCAAGGGAAGGGTTCCCATCGGTACGTCTTCGGACGAATCGGACTACTCATCGAGCGAAGAGGAGATCATTTGGAGTGGGAAGAGGAAGGAACATCCGCCACGAAGTGTGAAGGGCAAGGAGAAGATGACAATGGAGGGAGAAGACGATGAGGTGGATGAGGTGGACGAGGAGGCGTATGGGGATGTCGATGATGATGATGATGACCTAGACTATGCGTTCTACAGCCGCGGGCTCGGTGAGGAGGACAAGCAAGACAGGGTACGCGGTGTTCATAACTGTCCTCCCCCTCCTCCAACCATTGGCATCGTGGACTTGGAGGGCGAGGGAGCCTCACATGATGACCGGGAAAGGGCTGCGGCAAAGGCCCTTGCGCAAAGAGACTGGGCAGAAGTGCAGAAACGCATCGAGGAGGACAATGCAAAGCGCTTGGCAGTGCCACGTCCGGGGTCGCTTTCGGGGCTTAGCATGCCTCCACCAGCAGATCGGGTCGTGGGCCCAAAGGACAAGCAACAGCAGAAGGAGCAGTCACAACAAGGGCGGCACGAGCAAGAGGAACACGAAGACCAGCAGCGGCACAAGGAGCAGCAGGAAGAGAGCCAGCAACAGGAGCAAAAACAGCAAGAGGAGGAGCAACACCAGCAGGAGAAGCAGCAACAGCAGGAAAAGCAGCAGCCGCACGAGAAGCAGCAACTTGAAGAGCAGCAGCGGCAACAACACCAAGAGGACAATCAGTACCAAGCGGAGCAGCATCGCTTGGAACCACAGCAGGAGGACGACGGGGAGCAGCAGCAGCAGGGGGAAGGCGTACGGGAGCAGCAGCAGCAGGAAGACGGTCGGGGCCAGCAGCAGCATGACATGCAGCAGCAGGAGCACAACGAAGAGGATCAGCAGAAGCAGCAACTAGAAGACAAGGGGCAGCAGAAGCAGCAGAACCAGCAACAACAGCCCCCACAACAGGAGCCGAAAGACATCCTGCAGCAACCGCTCATCCTCCACGCCGCGAGTTGTCCCCCTCCGTTGCCCCACTTGGATGAAAGTCTCGTCCATGACAACCTGGACCAGCAGGGCCGGGAGGAAGCGGAAGAATGACATTGAACCTGCTGTTGATCCAACAGTGAAGCGTGGGAGGGGATGACCAAGGAAAACTGTCGTGAACGCTGCAAAATCTATCCTCGTCGCACCACCTCCACCATCAACACGTCCAAGGCGCACAGCCCGAGCGACAAAGAAGCGGCACAGTCGGGTCCTCGAGGACGATCCGACTACGGCAGAGGACAGCAGCGACAGGGAGGGGGACGACGAGTCGGACCCGGAATGGATCTAGACGGAAGTCTAGACGACCAGCGCGACCGGGGCCTGATTAACATTTGAGTTAGCTTTTGTTCTTCTTGAATCTTTGTTACGATTGATTGTAGTGACAACTTGGCGCACAAATCGAAGGTTTTGGTTTCGGAAACTGGATGTCCAAACTTGGTGGTTGCGTGCAGGTGGTTGTGTGTTGGTTTTGGTATCAGAAACAGAATGTTCAAACTTGACTCATAAGTATCAGTTTTCCAAGTGTGTGTAAACAGTGGTGGTTGCATGCAGAGTGACGGTTTTCAGGCACCACTTGCCGAAAGCCTCAAACCGTACCGGGAAGTGGTTCACAATCATTGTTGGCATTTTCTAGCTCATAACGGTGTCTAATGTCCATGCAGGCTGACACCACAACCGTGAACTGGTCTCATCGACTGCGGCCACGAACAAAGAAAAAAAAAAGAAATTATCCACAAAAGACACCGAGGTTATCCCATCAACGCACTTCTTTGTGGGCCGCCCCCCACAACCCATCAAGCACTTCTTTGTGGGCCGCCCCACTGATACACAAACTCTTCTTTATGGTTGGCCAGACTGATGGGAGGAAAAAAAAATAAGGGAAAAGAGAGGAGTCATGGGGCTGCACCAAAATATGCCAACCATTGGCAACCACCCTCCTCCTCAACCCCTCCTCAACCCCCCCCCCCCCCCCCACGGGGCCATACCTCGAAAAAAAAAAATTGATGCGGATTTAAGTAGTACTCGGTGGGCGCATAAATGCCCCGCCTAAGTTAAAAAAAAATAAAAAAAAATAGGGCCAAAAATCACTCGCCCGTGGTACCCCGTGCGGGGGGCCCAGGCTGCCCGGGCCAGGGTCGCCCCAGCCGCGGGTTCGGTAGCCTAGCCGCAAACGCTTTGGCTGAAAAACCCCGTCGTCGTAACATTCCGCAAGTTATTGAAGATGAAACTTCTTACGACAAAGAAACACTACAAAGAACATTAGATACAAACTTGCCGCTCCTTCGCCAGTCCCAACGTGCTATCTTCACTCGAGTCACAATTGTCGATGACAATAACGAATCGCTATATCTTTTCGTCGATGGTCGTGCCGGAACAGGGAAAACATTCTGTTTCAATACCATTTTCACATATATTCGAAATCAGGATCGCATCACCCTTGTTGTGGCTTCGAGCGGAATCGCTGCAACACTATTACATGGCGGACGAACATTTTACTCACGATTCAAAGCATCCCTTACACCAACTGCGACCTCCATACTTAATATTCCGAAACAGTTTGTACTGGCACAACTAATACGAATGGCTACTGTTATCCTTTGGGACGAGGCACCAATGACACACAAATTTCATATCGAAGTGCTTGATCGGACCCTTCGTGACATATGCTCCTCCATTTTTATTTTTGGTGGTAAAATCATTGTTCTTGAGGGCGACTTTTGTCAAATACTGCCTGTAATTACAAAGGGAACACGTGCACAAATTGTATGCCTGCATAAACTCGTCAACGCTTTGGCCACATTTTGAAACAATGCATCTCTCGGAAAATATGCGTGTGCTAACCCAAATTAATACACTTGAAGGCCATGAATACTCTACATGGCTCCTTTCACTCGAAAATGGTCATATTCCACCTTCCCCCTGCACTGAACCTTTCTCCTATCCCATTTGTGCTTATATGAAGAAACACAATAACTTATAGCTTGGAGGTTCCCGGACCTGCAAACAAATTCCAACAATCCGCTTTGGCTTGTCGAGCGCCTGATCCTCGCCTTGAAAAACAGCACTGTATCTACACTCAATTCAAGTATCCTAGAATAATTCCCTGGAGATTTCATCACATTCCTCAACGCTGACACTCTCCTACCCAATGAAAATTACCCTGATGTACCTGTTGATGCCCTTAATGCAATTGACATCCCCTCCCTGTCGCCCCACATCCTTCGCATTAAACGAGGTGCACCGGTCATTCTCTTACGAAACATTGCCATGCGAAACGGTCTATGTGATGGCTTGCGATTAATAATCGATTCGGTCACGAACAACAGACTTCTACATGCATGCATCCCCCCTTCACTCCAAACTGTTCTCCTCCCACAAATTCTTCTAACAGTCACTGATCAAACTCATCCTTTCTCTTGGCAAAGACATCAATTCCCTATTCGGCCTGCTTTTGCAATTACTATACATATATCCCAGGGACAATCAATTAAACATGTTGGTATGGATCTCCAACAGACACCATTTGCACGTAACTGCATCGAGAGTAGGTGGCCCGACACACATTCGCTTCTCTCTCCCTGCAAACACTAACCGAACTGCTAATATAATCTATAAAGAAATTTTCACTTAAATTATCCGTCTCGACATTTGCCCACATTCTCTCTTGCGCTTTCTCTGCAGGTCTCCCCCAAGACAAGCCGTCACCGAAAAAAAAATGAAGTCATCATCATCAACAACTTCGTCTCCCGACCTTACGACGATGCCTGCAACTACGACTACAAGCGTGGCTACGTCAACATCTACGGCTGCCACCACTTCCACTTCTGCAACGACTCTTTTTGCTGCCGCTGCTACCTTGCCACAAACATCATTGCCAACTTTATCACAAATTGGCCTCGATGACGATATCCTCACACAAATTCCGCTTCCCCCTCCTGCCTCCTCCTCCCACCACCTCGCAACAACTTCGACAAATCCCCAATCCGCTCCTTTGGCCACTTCCGCAATCGTCCACTCTGCCACTTCGTCATCTGCTCCTCATAGAGGGGATGAGTAGCTTCGGTTAGTGACCAAAGACAACACCGAAGACATCATTACCCAAATATTGTGGGAGGACTTCCTCACAACTGATCATGCCGCCTTTTCACCACACCTCTACGATTTATTCACTCTCTACAAACAAAATCGAATATAGTCTCTACAACGCCCTAGCCCCTCCCCCGACATCAACATCCAATTCCAGCGCACAAAAGCGTTCCTCCTCAAGCTCATCAAGGATGACTACAGCCATCTTCGCTCTCTGAGAACGCCTCGCCCGCAATTCCAATATGAGCGTATCACAACTGCGCACCATAGACACACTTTCATTGCAGACGCTCCGCGGCCGCGCCAATCACGATTACAACCCCATGCGCCTCACGAAGTTGGCCCCCTTTGGTGGCTTCCACTAGAACCATGGGGCGCAACAAGATCCACCGCCTCATTCACGACCTTCTCACATCCCGCCACACCTTCCAAATCTACGACATCCCCCACCCACCTCACACATGGGAATACCTGAACGATCTCATTTCCATCCACCACACAACATACCTGCCCTCTGTTTTCTGCTTACCGGACAGACATCGTTCGTCGAGCCATTGCACTTCTCCGAGTTCAAGGGGCGCCTACACGATGAGCATTCAACGAGACTACATTTTCAAGATTGGAGACGTGATCGTCTGCCTACCCGAGAACATCGCGCATCGGAAAAGACACGGTGGTTCCAAGATTGGTGATTGGGAAACCAGTGAACAGTGGATGGTGTGCATGCATGGCGACTCGGACAAAACCAACACTATAGACAAAACGAGGGAAATAGAAATAGCTACAAGAGACAGTTTCTCCACTGTGAGATTTTGTACAAAAAAAAACATGCGCCGCTGTGCATACATTTTAACTGTTTTCGTGTGCATGTGCTCTGTGGTTCCATCTCCTACTTGATGAATGGATTCTTACCACCCGCTCTCCAAGTTCTTTTTCTTTCTAAATACGGTCTCATCAAACACTCTATATCTTCTAACTTTGTATCCATGTGTTCGTGTGACTCTCTTTTTTGTACATGGTTTTTGCTTTGTGTTCTCAGTCCCTCAGCACATACTCAAATAACAAAGAGTATGTACATCGGAGCCCCCGAACATCAGCTGCTCAATACGTCTGAACTGTAGTCGTTCCAAAACATGTTACGACAACACCACAGACAAAATCACAAAGGCGCGGAAACGGCAACGGAGAAAAAAAGCGACAGCAAAAAACACGGAAAAACGGACAAAGGGAAAAAGACACGTACAAACTTAGAAAAATACTCTAAAACAAGTGCTCCCATGTAAACATTCCACATACATTCCGATCCGTTTCTCCGTTCCTCTCACGAATCCCTGCCACGCGACGCAACATCGCTTCGGCGGGTCCACTTGGAGCTTTTTAAGGTAACATATGACTGAACCGATCATCTTAGATCAAGGTTCAGTCTGCCCCCTTCTTACCGCAAGTTTATTCTTAATTCATACTCTCTTCATTTTATGATAAGCTATAGTCAGACCATCCAATCATATGGAAAAATGTCTGACTAGCCTGTTCATAAATAAAGTAATATAAATAATATAAACAAGTTTATCCCTTTGGTTCCAGCATGTGCGTGGCTCCAGACCAGATCACCCAGTCTTATGGGAACCTGTCTAGTCCTTTGCCTGAATTCCCCCTCAGAATAAAACAAGAGAGAGTTAGGGTCATCCAATCTTATGGAACATGCCCAACTCTCTTTCATAAACTAGCAAAAACATAAGAAAAACCCAAAGAAAACAAGGCAACCAAGCCATCCAATCTTATGGAAAAATGCTTGGTCCCTGAAAATCAAGCACAGGTACCCCTGCAAGTCAAAGCAACCAGACCACCCAATCTTATGGGAACATGTCTGGTCCTTCAGGCAATCAAAAATAAACATAGCACCGAGCCCTTCAATCTTATGGAGACTCTCCCATCCTTTGGTTGACCCAGTCAGATACAAGCAATACAACCTTCCTCCCACCTTTCCCCGAGATGCAACCCTTTTTCACAATCTTCTTTCAGTCAAACAACAAATCTGAAACTGAAAT